CCTAGGCATCAATCAAACAAAGGAAGTAAAAGACCTTTATATTGAAAACTACAGTACTCTAAAAAAGGAGATACAAGAGGATATCAGACAATGGTACGATATCCTTGTTCTTGAGTAGGAAGAACCAATAAGTGAAAATGGCCATGCTTTCAAAATTATTATAGACTTAATGCAATCCTGATCAAAATACCAATAGCATACCTCACAAAGTTAAGAGAAAACAATCCTAAAATTCATTTGAAACTAGAAAAGACCTAAGATAGCAACAGCAATTCTGGGCAACAAAGGCAAGGTAAGGGACATCATAATCCCTGAAATTATACTATAAAGCTAAAATGATAAAACAGTATGGTGCTGGTAAAAAAAAAAAAAAAAAAAAAAAAAAAAAAAAAAAACAAAAAAGACCAAAGAATCAATGGAACAGATTAAAAGATGCAGAAACAACTCCAAACGCATGCAGCCACTTAATTTTTTTGGAGACAGGGTCTATGTGACTAGCCTTGAACTCACTATATAGCCTAGGCTGGCCTTGAACTCATGGTGATCCTCCTGCCTCAATCTCCCAAGTGCTAGGATTACAAGCATGAGCCATCACACTGGGCACCACCTTATCTTTGAAAAAGTGGCCAAACACCTTCACTGGAAGAAAACCTCGTTAGTAAATTGAATTGGAAAAAAAAATGGAGCTGGAAAAACTGGCTTAAAACTAGACCCGTATCTCTCATCATGCACTAAACTAAAATTGAAATGGATCAAAAATCTAAATATTAAAACAGAAACACTAATACTGATGGAAGAGTGAATAGGTAGAATTCTTGAAGTCATAGAGTAGGAAGACTTTATGAATAAAACCCTGATTACACAGGAAATATCAACTGGGATCTCATTTTATTAAAAAGCTTTTGCACAGCAAAAGAAACAAGAGTGGAGACAACCCACTGAATGAAAAAAATATTTACCAGTGTTCATCATCCAAGTACTACTATCTAAAAGAGATAACACAAAAAACTCAGACTCCCAACCCAGAATTAAAAACCCAATACAAATATGAGTATCTGAAATAAAAAGATACTTCTCAGATGAAGTAGAAACATCAATATATGAAAAAAATGTTCATTAGTCACTCATGAAAAGCAAAGTAAAACAATGCTGATATTCCATCTCACTCCAGAAAGAATTCAACCAGTAATAAATGCTGGAGGGGCTGTGGGAAAAAAGGAACACTTCTCCACTGGTGGTGGGAGTATAGGCTGCTGGTACAACTACTGTGGAAATCAGTGTGGAGATTCCTCCTCAATAAACAAATGAGAGATTCCACACCAGATATATGCACACCCATGCTTATAGTGGCCAAGGAGAAAAGCCTTAGAATTTCTGAGACCTATCCTGCTGACACATTCATTTTGGATTTCTGGTCTCCTAAATAATGAGAAAATAAAACTTCTGTTGTTTAAGCCATAAAAAGTTAATGGTAGGGCCAGGGATTTATTTAGCTCAGTGGTCACACCAACTGCCTCACAAGTGCAGGATCCTGAGTTTAATCCCCAGAACCCACCCCAAAAAGTTAAAGGCAACTCTAAAATATACTATTTCACAGTTAGATATTATTCAATAACTTCAAAAAGGAGTAACACACAATATATTTTTAACAAACAAGTTAACCCAATCAATAATATAATTTACTGATGCTTTTGAGATTTTTTTTCATGGGGGAGCCCTGGGGACAAGAGCTCTACTGTTGAATTATTTTATAACTGCTACTTTTATTGTCTTTTTCCCCCTCTTTGATACCAGCTGTTGAACTTAGGGCTTTGCACTTGCCAGGCAGGTGCAGCACCACTGAGCTGTATCTCCAGCCTTTGTAACTGCTACTTTCAAAAATGAGAGGAAGAATAAAATTTGAGATTCAGAGTTTAAAAAATGGAAAGTACCAAACAAATGAAAATGTTGATACCATTAAATAGGTTTATTCCTTTAATATCAAAATGTTTATTGGAAAAAAACGTTTATTGGTACATTTTAGGCATACATAATAACACTCATCATAGGGAATCTGCACCTGTGCATGATACATTCTGCCTTTTTCTCCCTCCCCTATGTACAAAAGCTTTGTTTCCATTTTCTCCATTTTTACTTTTTTTCTTGTCCCTTCTTTCTTTCCTCCCTTGTTCCCCTCATTGAACATTTTCTTCCATTTCCCAACATCTATTACACATCTTAGTCCTTATTTCCACTTCTGGTTTCTCACATCAGAGAAAAATGTGGTATTTAATCTTGGAAGTCCAATTTATTTTACTTGAGTATGGTCTCAAGGCGAATCTATTTACCTATAAATGTCTGATGTTCATCCTTCTTTATGGCAGAGTAGTACTCCATTGTATAAAAAAATCACATCTTCTTTATCTACTCATTGGTTGATGGGCCTTTGGGTCATTTCCAAGATTTAGCTATCACAGACTGTGCCACCATAAACATGGGTGTGCATATACTGCTGTGGTATGATGCATTTCTTTTGGGAATATACCAAGAGAAATAGCTAGATCAAGTGGAACCTCTAGTTTTGCTTTTTTGAGGAATCTCCACATTGATTTCCACAATGGTTGTACCAGTCTACAGTCCCACCAACATTGGAGAAGTGTTCCATTTTCCTCACAGCTTCTCGAGCATTTGTTATTGGTTCATTTCTTGATAGCAGTCATTCTTTCTGAAGTGTGATGGAATCTCAGTTTTTTTTTTCAGTTCAAAATTTGATTTTATTTTTCTTTTCAGCATTGTTTTAATTTGCACCTCTTGAATGACCAGTGATGTTGAGCACTTTTTCATATATTTACTTACTGCTTCATTTGAGAAGCATCTATTCATTTTAGATGCCCATTTTTGTACTACGTCTTTACATTTGGGAGATTTGATTTTTTGTGGTGTTTATTTATTCTAGATAGTAATCCTCTGATAAATAGTTGGTAAAAATTTTTTTTTCCCAGTGGTTTCCCTTGCTGTGAAAAAGATTGTTAAACAGGTTTAAAAACGTATTTTAGATAGGTTCTCCTGTTGCCCATTCTCAAACTCATTCCCTCAAGCAATTCTCCCACTTTAGCCTCCTAATTATCTGAGACTAGTCAAGTGCCAACCTGGCTATAAGATTGCTATCTGAATTTCAAAAAAAAATCAATGCACTATTAACAGTATATAAAAATCTCCTAATCTATTATTAAATTAGACTATTTACCTATCCATAGTGAAGTGAACAGAAAAACGTTTTCATTTAATTTCTTTTTTTAAAAAAGTGTGTCAGGGTCAAACCTTGTTTCTCAGGCCTGTCATCCCAACAGTCCAAGAGGCTAAGGCAGGATAATCACAAATTCAAGTCCAACTTGCACAACTTACTGACTCAACAAGACCCTATCTGAAAATGAAAATTTAAAAACAGGTTGGGGATGTAGCTCAGTATGAAGGCCATGGGTTCAATTCCAGGGCTCAAAAAAAAAATTTTTTTTTCAGAAAATATGAGGTATCTCACAATGCACAAGTTTTATCAATGAGGCTTCCCCTCTCAAGCCTTCCAAACTCACTCAGAAATAACACAAGATATCCAGGTGCTTTAAAATGCAAGGCTTTTAATTCAGTTTCTGGAAACAACCATAAATGCCTCCACATAAATGCCTCCTTTTTTTTCACTGTAAATAGAAGGTACAGGCATTACATAAGACCCTCAAAGCATAAGACCCTTCTAATGCTGGTGGACATAAAACATTAAATGGCAGTTTAGATGTTAACAAAGTCTTTTAAAAAAATGCTCTAAAATCCCACATAAAAAATTAAGTTATCAGTCTTTCTCAGATTTCTAATTCAGCTTTATGTTATTCTTACAAGTACATAATTTGAAATTAAGAGAGAAATTGGATGAGTATGATGTTTTCCAACTTTTGTTAAGTTTCAGTTAAATACAGTAAGTATGAAGATACCATTATCATGCTAATGGGTATCTTTTGCTACTCTTTAGCTGTGCAAAATAAACTTGAAATGATATATCCTGTAGTGGTACAATTTTTAAAAGATACCTGATATGACACAAACAATTTTCAAATTCTGGTCACAAACTGTATATAAACTGTAAGAGTATTAAAATACAACTTTTTGAAAAATAATAAGATGACCATTTATACCTAAATAAAGTTTCCTAGAAAGATATGAAATACTTTAGCATATAAAAGTAGTCACCCCTTTACTGAAGGGACAACTGTTGTTTCACAAAATAATCCATATGGTCCAAGGCAATTGATTTCTTCCAAATGCCAAATTCTCTCTATGATTTAGAAGTATCCTTCAAGAGACTGAATCCATAAGAAAAGGGCACATTTGGGTATTAGACCATAGTTACAAACATAAGGAACCTTTCTTGGGTCAAGAATGCCCTTACGAGTTAACAGCAACAGAGTACAAGAGAATAGCTCTGAAGCCATTTCTTTTACAAACACATACAACCAAATTTGGTGAAGGTAATTAAGACACAACTATTTACATATGTGCTACATTGTGTGCGTCTATTTTAAATACTGGCTTCTGCAGGACACTCACTCAAACGTAAACCAAACAATCTTACTATAGCAAATCACATTCTTCTATTTTTGGCAAGGTACTAAAAACAAAAGAAGAAAAAACAACAACAAAAAGAACTAATGGTTCACACAAAAGTTCCCATATTAAACAACAACAGGAAAAGTGTTCTGGGGCAGGGGATGTAGCTCAGTGGCAGTGCAGTGCCTACCTGGCAAGAGCAAGGCCCTGAGTTTGAGTCCCCATATCAAAAAACCAAAAAAGACAAAAAAAAAAGTCCCTTTAAAAAAAAAGCCAGGCTGTAATCCCAGCACTTGGGAGGCTGAGGCAGGAGGATCACTGTGAGTTTGAGGCCAGCCTGGGCTCCATAGTGAGTTCAAAGCGAGCCTGAACAAATAGCCAGACCTGTCTCAAAAAAACAAAAAAAGGACCAAGGATTTAGCTCAGTGGTACTGCACCTGCCTCACAAGTGCAAGATCCTGGTATCATGGGGAAAGAAAAAAAAAGTGTTCTGAGAAACACGAATTTTGAGGAAATAATACTGCCCAACAAATAATGTGGGAAATCAATTTTATAATCACTCAAATAGCTATCACATATAAGATTTAACGGATACCTTAGAAATAATAGCTCCACTTAAAAAATAGCTAATTATGAAGTTCATAATTAAAATGCCTTCAAAAAGCATCCAAATTAATCAGCTTAGTAGGCCCAATTAGTAAAGTGTAAGGAGAAAACAAATTTTTCCATAATTAACAAAAAATGCTTCTTGCCTTGAAATTTTGAAAATGGTAAATAGTGAAATGAAAATCTATATGACAAATGAAAAAAAACTACTATGCCTACTAATAAGATGGGAAGCAATAAAAATATTTTTAAGCTGTGATTATTCAATAGAATGCCTTATAAAATAACACATCAAAATCAAGCTAAGAAAAGGCTTCAAGACTAGCAGCTGGACTCTGAAACATGTAGGATAACAGAAGGCACTACATAAGCATCAATTACTTCAAACTATAGTCGGACAGTTCAGTCTTTTCTTTCTTAAGAGGATGGCCAGTGTGAATGTTATTTTTATATCCCCCTGAGTTTTAACATGATTGGGCAAAGCAGCACCAATTAAAAAAAAATCTGCAATGCCAGCACTGCAGTATGGAATCACTTATACTGATGGCCCCACAGGTCTCTTATAAGAGCACTTTAGTACATGATTAAAAATATAGAAATGCCTTTCAGTGTTTCAGTAGAGACACTATTAAAGTAGAACCACCACAAATACCCATTTTTTAAAATAATGCACTAAAAAGGCCTATTTATACAATGCCGTCTTCCCACCCTGTATCTCCCATTCATAGCTCTTTTGCACGCTGCTGCCACCAGGAGATCTCCTTTGGGTGTCTGTTGAAATGTCAGTATGCTTCGTGGTGCACAATCCATTTTGGCTGGAAAATCCCGGTTAATTGTCATGTCATGCCCGTTTTGAGCAGTATGCTTTGAAGATCCTCTGGCAACGCTAAGATAATTGCATCTATATGTGTCCGTAACTTTTCCATAGTGTCTGGTTTCACAGGTAAATGTTCTCTATCAGCCTGCAACTACATAAAGAACATTTGGCAGCATTTACATGAGCCTATATTTATATATTATATTCTCTATCGTCTCCTTTCTTTTTTTTTTTTTTTTAGACAGGGTCTCGATTTGTAGTTCAAGCTGGCCCTGAACTCACCATGTGGCCCAGGATGGCCTCGAACTTGTGACAATCCTCCTCTCTCAGCCTCTCAAGTGCTGGGATTACAGGTGTGTGCCACCACACCAAGCTTTATTATATTCTTCATATAAACAAGTTTAATGGTCTAACAACTTGGAAACTTTAGTCTTAGACTAAAATTTATAGAAAATAAAAAAACTGAAGAACATGCTCTTTACATTGCTAAGCTCAATAAAAGGCATCTATATAAATCTGTAGATAATATATGGTATTAAATGTAAGAGACATTTTGGTGGAGTTCATTAGACTCTATGTAAATATCTCTAGAATAATATTGCATCATTATGATCTGTCTGAGTGACTTCTGATTCAAAAAGTTACTTCTGAGACATATCAAAGATTTTCAGTTCAAATGGGAGGAAAATATTTTCACAGAAAGATCAATTTGATTTTCACCTGACTTGGCTACATACCAGCTTGGTTTTCAGCTTCAATACAAGGTCGACTGTTTCTACTTCTGTGTGTTTTTGGATCCAGAGAAGTAGGTCCTAGAACAATAAACAAAATCCAAATCAGTATTTACTCAAAATGATATTTATACTCTGCTTTAGTAGGCAAGGGTAATGGGAAAGAAGGACAAGGAGAGAAAGGAAAGCAGGGTATTTAACTCAGATATAGAAATATAGTACAGAATAATTTTCATGATATCCTAGAAACTGCCAATCAGATAACACTTAAAATTAGGCAGAATAATTGTCTAATACTTGAAAGTAAAACAAAATGTAAGAATAAAAGTAACTGATGCTTATGTAGTACCTTCTGTTGTCCTACATGTTTCAGAGTCCACCTTTCTGAGGTGGCCCTTTTTGGTAAAGAAACAGAAAGAAACGTGTAGCTCAATGCAATACCAGCCTCCACCCCTACAGTAATGAGGAATTTATAAGGAATATTTCCTAACAAATCAAGATGACTAAACATGAATGCATAACAGAGTGGAAACTTGGCATTGTCAAATAAGCTCTGCTTGGGCTTACTTTGTGGTTGCCTTTGTTGTATTCTTTTTCTGAAAGCTATAATCACTGGAAGTTTATTATTAGAAACATAACATTGAGGTTAGCCCACCTCAATTTTAAAGCTAAATAAATATAAGATCATCCTTTATATTTTCAATGTAGTTTAAAATACGCTGGTGATAAATCACAGAATTATGAAAAATCAGTCTAACAACATGAAAAAAAGTTGATACTGAGCCCAGGATTTAGCTCAGTGGTGCCACCACCTGCCTCCCAAGTGCAAAGTCCTGAGTTCGATCCCAGTACAGGGTGGAGGGCGGGGGTTTAGACTAACTGGAAAGGGTAAGAAGAGTTGGGGTTTGACTTCTGGAACTTGAATCCTACTCCCTCCAGTGGTGTGCTGGAAAATACTAAATGAACAGTTCTTCAGAAAACAGTCTCTAGTTCATAACATTTGTCAGCTTCTATGGTATAATACTGTCACTGTAGGTGATTTCAAGCTACCAACCTGAGGTCGCTAAAGTCAGAACTGGGAAAAGATATGCACAATTAGCTCTTCTGGTGCATTCTACTACACTTCTTGCTCTACTACTTAAGAGTGATATCAACTAAAGGCCACATCACTCACCTTCTAAGCCACAGGTGTTGCATAATGCAGAGCATAAATGCCTACCTCAATAAAATGTAAAGATTAAAAAAGAGGATCTGGGCCAGGGATTTAGCTCAGTGGTGCTGACAGCTGCCTGGCAAGCCCAAGGTGCTGAGTTTGATCCCTGGTACCAGGGAGAAAAAAAAAAGAGTATCTGTATAAAGCACCTACACATTCCCTATGATACATAATCTATGAAAATGAGCTCTTTTTACTCAGTATAAAGAAGTAGATATGGCTATTATCTTCAACCTCTAAAGAATATTTTTACTTTTTTTTCAGATAAAATATTATAGGAATATTTTTATTTTCAACAGTTGTTAGTCATCACATGAACACACTATTTTCTAACCTCTTCACAAAGAGCTTCTAGATGGAGAGCCTCCAATTTTTGGGTGATTTCTTTCCGCCGGGTTTTGAACCAACCATCAAAATTTGGAGACTTCAGAAAATGCCTATAAAAATAAATTTTAAATAAGCAAAGTTTGACTATCATTTATTTCCTCTCATTACCTTTCTTACCAATAGCTCAGAAAACCATAACAGAATTTTCCAAAAGAATCTAACAGTTTAAGGCTACTTTTCTGTTTTGTTTTCTTTTTAAATAAAGATCTGCAGATGAGTGGAAAGGAAGGGGAAAAGACTAACCGGTAAAGTCCAATCCAGTCGCCTTTTATTCTAGAAGTCAGTTGAGGTCCTGTTTTTTCAAGTGTTTTCATAAATTCTTCTGGAAGGAACTGTCTTAATTGGGGTGGGCTCTAAAGGACAATATATACTATACTTACAAACTAGAAGTGTGCGGTATATATTCAAAGAAGATCATTGCAGGTACAGAATTCAAATAGGGATTTATTAGAATATTTATACCTTCCATGGAGAAATAGTTTTCTGCAAAGGCATCAGGCTTGCCACATATCTTTCCTAAAACCATGAAAAAAAAAGTCAACAGAAGTTAGGTGTTTTGACTTATACAGAGGTCTTAAACTTTTTTCTTCTCAAGGTGGGTCACAGTACCTCTAAGTTGCTGCCAATAAAGAAAATCTCTGATCTACTTTGTCTGATAGCAGAAGGTTAAAACCCAATATCAGAAGTGGTTCTGCTCAGTACCTGTGAGGAAGGCAGGCTGAGAACCTGGACAGAACTTATAGGCTTCCCTCCCCAGTCTATCAGCATTAGATCATGCCCTTTTCATACAATCCCATTTTGACACAATACCCACACTTCAAGCATACCTATACAATGAATTCTCCATAAAAATCCAAAAGACAAGCTAGGGATGGTGATGCACACCTGTAATCCCAGCACTCTAGGAGGTTGTCTGAAAGATCACAAGTTCAAACCCAGACTGACAATTCAGTGACTTAGCAAGAGCTTTCTCAAAAAGAAAAAAGGGGAAAAAAAAAAAGGCTTGGGATACAGCTTAGTATGGAGGCTCTGGTTCAACTCCTAGTACTGCAAAAGAGAGAGAGAGAGAGACAGAGAGAGAGAGACAGAGAGAGAGAGAGAGAGAAACAGAGTTTGGAGAGTTTCTAAAATAGCTGAGGTTCCTGGAGGGCAGTGACCCAGGAGCTCTACACCTCTTCCCCCATATCTTGCTCTATATATCTCTATCTGAATCCTTTGTAAGATCCTTTATAATAAACCTCTAACTATTACAATAAAACTGTACCTCAATTCTGTGAGCCACTCAAGCAAATTTATTGAACTCCAAAGAGGGGATTCTGGGAACCTCAATTTATAGCCAGTGAGAAGCACAGGAAAAACAATTCAGGGTTTATGACTGGTATCTAACCGAGGAGGCATATCATGGGAATTGAGCCCTTAACCTACAACATATGATGCATCTCCAGATATTACCAGGATGGAATTAGAGAACATCCAGCTGGTTTGTGCTGGTACAGAACTGATTGTCTGCTTCCTGGTGGGAAAAAAAATCCCTACACCTCTTGGAGTCTCAGAAGTGATCTGTGTATTAAGAATACAATAGGGGAAACTGAGTCTGAGATTTGCTAAATTCACTATTTTCATTGTACTTACTTTTTATGGAATCAACACCCACAAGACTTGCCATAATCTATAGAGCTAAATTAATTAATTTATTAATTTATTTATTTTTGGTGCTGGGGATCGAACTCAGGACCTTGCACTTGAGAGGCAGGTGGCAGTATCACTGAGCTAAATCCTCAGCCAGTATAGAGCTAAATTTAGATTGAGTTGGGAAGTAACATTTTCAACAAAAATTTAACAAATCTTGAACACTCTGCAAAATTATTTTTTGTTTTGTATTTTGTTTTTTGAGGCAGGATCTCACTATGCTGCCCAGCCTGGTCTCAAACTCATGGGCTCAAGTGATCCTTTCACCTCAGCCTGTTAAGTAGCTGGGATGTATGTTACCATCCTTGGCCCAGATTTTAATGAAATAATTAAGATTACTGAGTGCCAGAAAATGTATGTAACATTTTATATGCATGATCTCCTGTAATCCTTGCAACTGTCCTATGTAGTAGGTATTACTGAGAAACTAAAATTTCAAAAGGCAAATAACCTGACCAAAATAACCCACCTGAGACATCAATTCATGTCTACATGAATTTAGTCTATAGTCTTTTTTTTTTTTTTTTTTTTTGGTACCAGGAATCAAACTCAGGACTTTGTGATTGTCAGGCAGGTGCAACACCACTGAGCTAAATCCCCAGCCCCTAAACACTACAGCAAAGTTAATTTACTTAAATAGATTTTCTCCCCTGTAGTATTAGGGACTGAATTCAGAGCCTCACATACTAGACAGCTGCTTTACCGCTGAGTTATAACCTCTAGTTTGACACACAGATTTAAATGGAACAAAACTAACTGACATGCTCAGACCAAGAAGGATTATTTCTTCCCAAAATGAATAGCAAAGACCCGCATGTTATCTCCATAGGATGTTCATAGGTAAATTATATTGGTAACTACATAAAATGTATGATTGAGTTTCCAGATTAGGACTATATCATGATGCTGCCTATTTGTTTATATGACATTCCTCTGAGTTCCTTAGAATAATCATATCATGGAGTCATTTATTCTACAAATATTTGTGTTGAAGGGTTTCAAGCCCTGAAAGAAAACAATTCTAACTCCAACTGATATCCTGCAAAAATGAATAGTATTCCTCTACACCAATAATCAATTCACTGAGAAAGAAATTAGGAAAATAATATCATTCACAATAGCATAAAGAAAAGTTAAATACTTTGGAATAAACCTAACCAAAGAAATGAAAGACCTCTACAGTAAAAACTATAGTACTCTGAAAAACAAGATTGAAGAGTACATCAGAAAATGGAAATATGTCTATGGCCATACCGCCCTGAATCGCCCGATCTTTTCTAATCTTGGAAGCTAAACAGGGTTGGGCCTGGTTAATACTTGGATGGGTGAAAATGGAAAGACATCCCCTGTTCCTGACAGGCATAACTAATATTATCAAAATAGCCATGCTTCCAAAATTGATAACACATATTTAACACAATCCCAATCAAAATACCAACAGCAGTCCTCCCAAAACTAGAGAGAACAATCTTAAAATTCATATGGAACCACAAGAGATCTAAAATAGCAAAAGCAATCCTGGACAACAAGAGTAAAGCAGGAAATACCATAATCTCAGACTTTTAAGTTATAACAGTGATAAAAACAGCATGGTACTGGCACAAAAATAGACATGTGGATCACAGAAAGAAATAGAGGATGGGGCCAGGGATTTAGCTCAGTGGTTCCACCACCTGTCTTGTAAGCGCAAGGTCCCAAGTTCAATCCCCAGTACCAAAAAAAAAAAAAAAAAAGAAAAAAAAAAAAAAAAAGAAATAGAGGATGCAGAAAAAACCCTTGGCACACATTCAGCCATCTGATCTTTAACAAGGGGGTCAAAAGCCTTTGCTGGAGGTAAGATAGCCTGTTTAACAAATGATGCTGGGGCTGGGTATGGTGGCACTCCCCTGCAATCCCAGCACTTGTGAGGCTGAGTCAGGAGGATTGCCATGAGTTCCAGGCCAACCTAGGCTACATAGTAAGGCCCTGTGTAAAAAAAAATGCAGGGAAAAATTGGCACTCCACATGCTGAAGACTGAACTTAGATCTGTATCTCTCACCGTGCACCAAACTAAACTGAAAATGGATTAAAGACCTACATAGTAAAACAGAAACAATCATCTGGAAGACTAATAGGAAAATTTCTTGAATTCACAAGCACAGATAAAGACTTTCTGAACAGAACCTCAACTGCATAAGTAACAACATTAAGAGAGATGAATGTGGTGGTGCATGCCTGTAGCTGCAGCATATAGGAGGCTAAGATAGAAAGATTGCTGTGAGTTTGAGGCCAGCCTGGGCTAGTGAGTTCAAGGCCAGCCTGAATTATAGAGCAAGATCCTGTCTCAAAAAATCTCCAAAATGGGGCCAGGGATGTAGCTCAGTGGCACCACACCTTCCTGGCAAGCAAAAAGCAAAAAACAAATGAAATAACATCAAGAATCAATAAATGGGATCACAGAAAATTAAAAAGCCACAGTTTAATCCCTGGTACCAAAAAAAAAAAAAAAAAAAAAAAAAAAAAAAAAAAGAAAAAAAAAAAAAAAAAAAAACAAAATATAAACCCCGGAAAAAAAAAAAAAAAAAAAAAAAAAAAAAAAAAAAAGCCACTACACAGCAAAGGAAGGAGTGGAGAGATAGCCGACAGAATGGGAAAATTTTTGCCAGTTACTTATGAGACAAAGGACCAATATCTAGAATACATAAAGGACTCAAAAAATTAGACTCTCCCCAAATAAAAGACCCAGTAAAAAAATGAGCATTTGAAATGGATAGACGCTTCTCAAAAGAAGTACAAATGGCTAATACACGAAAAAATGCTGTTTTTTTCTGGGCTCCTGTCACATGGAGAATTGTTTTCTATCCTTTCACTTGCACCTGCTTTATGATACATAGTAGTGACCGTGCTTTATCAGAGCTATATTTAATGATATTACTCTAGAATGTTCTCTTTCCAGATGATGATTAAAATGCTAATAAAAAATATGGCGCCAGGTACCACAACAGCAACAGAACTTTGCTGTTGGCTGGATATTATTCTTTTCTTTGTTTTTTTTGTTTTGTTTTGTTTTGTTTTTCTTAATGGAATGTGCTGAATGTCTATAATTTTGTTCAGATGACTGCAGAACCTGGAAAAGCTGTTGCTGCTATCAATGCATAACATACTGCTATTATTAGTCTTTTTATATAAATATAAATAT